GCAGTGCCACGTTCTCCCGGTGCTCGCCAAAGTACCAGCCGAAGTTGTCGGCATCGAGGTTGTCCTTAAGCGCCCAAGCGTGCATCCGTGGCAGTGTTGCGCCAAACATGAGCTCATCGTGCAGCAGCTGCTGCGCCTGCCTGAACTCTGACAGCAGCAGCTGCTGCACCTCGTCCATGTTCAGGTCGACGTCCCTGTAGGTGAGGATCTGCTCGTCCTCGTCCCAATGTGCCTGGTGCGAGCCCACGCCCTCCTTCGACACTGCGAACAGCAGCAGGCGCCAGCCCAGTATCTCGCCCATGGGCGTCTCCGTGTCTGGCCGCAGGTACTGCTCGCAGATGGTGTTGATGTGCTCGAGCGTGCTGCCGGCGCCCGACCTCTCGAGGTATGCGGCTGTGCTGAAGACGAGCAGCTGCACGGCCCAGATCAGGCCGGACAGGCAGCTGTTGAAGTTGCCCGGCTCCTTCCACGAGTTGGTGCGCGGCTTGACGCTGAGCATCGCGCAGAAGCTGAGGAGAGGCGAGCTGAAGCGGTCGCCGCCGAACTCGTGGCAGACGAGGGCCATGCAGAGGGACCGGAGGGCGTCGTTCAGGGCTGGGCGGTCTCCATCAGCGGTGCACTGCAGGGCTGCCTCCCAAGCCGCTGTCTGCTCGTCCGTCAGCCGGATCCAGTCCTCGGGGCACCTGCCCTGGTCCGCACTCCCGTCTCCCGTTGCAGCAGGCGTAGGTGGCGTGAAGTGGCTGCCGCAGTATGCCACGCGGTAGCAGTACGTCATGAACTGCTTCCAGTACCCAAAGTTCGTGCGCAGTGTGGAGGGCTCCTTCTTGGGGTCGAAGCCACGTGCCCTGCCTGCCCTGTAGCTGGCTGACGCCGATGATGATGATGCAGGCGCTTCGCGGAAGCGGCTCAGTGCGAGCTGCCTCGGCCATGTCAGCATGCAGTCCGGCCCGTCGAAGCACCAGCCGTGTGCCTCGGCGAGGATCTCGTCCATGACCTCGAGCATCAGCAACAGCTCGGGCTCTCCCTCATCTGCGCTCTTTGGCAGCGTGTAGGAGGCATGCATCTCGTCCTTCTGCAGGCCCCGCACGTGGTTTGCGATGCCCGTCCGCCCCAGCCATGGGACCACGGCCGAGCGGTGGCTGTCGAAGCCGTGCACCCTGCTGGCCTCCGTCTTGATGTCCTCTGCGACCATGTTCGCGTCCTCCTCGGCCAGCTCGAAGAAGTCCTGCTCCTGCGGCTCGAGGGCAATGGCAGCAGTAGCTGCGTCCCCTTCCGCCCTGCCGTCGTCTGTAACCGCGAAGTACCGGACGTGCTGGGTCTCAGCGAAGAAGGTCTGGACAGTGCACCTTCGCCACGACCTGCCCTCGGCCTGCCTGGCCGGCTTCTGCCCGTGCTCCTTGGACACGTGCGCCCTGATAGCTGGCTCCGACCGCGTAAGGCTCAGGCTCTGGCCGTCGACATCGCAGATGGCGCACACGAATGCCGCGTGGCACCGCAGTCCTGGAATGGGTGCGCAGGGCTGATGCGGCAGCTCGACCTCGCCCGGCAGCCGGAGCTCATATGTCGCGAAGAGGTCGAGCTGCGCTCGCAACTGAGAACCCTTCAGTAGGTGTGGTGGCTGCCTGAGGTGCCTCTCCTGGCTAGCGCGCGTGGGCGGGAGGCCGGTCTGGCACTTGGCGCAGAGCAGCACGCCGTGCGCCCGGAGGTAAGGGAACCTGGCAGTAGCTGCCATCACGTACGTCCGATGCTGGGACTTTGGCTGGGTAACAGAATTACTCTACTAAAGAAATACAGAGGTGCGCGCGCGCGCATGGGGACCGGAAAGGGGGGGGGGGTTTCCCCAATTTGCGAAGGAATATTTGCGAAGGAATGGCCCATGCGCGCCTGCGTGACAGGGATCATTTGCGTGGGGATTCCCAATTTGCGCCAGAGATACGGCCAGTTCTTGAGATAGTGGCCTAGTTAAGGGGATCAGAAGCATATGCAGGGTATCGGCAGTCACAAGCCACAAATAAAGCTTGCCTTAGTGTCTTAAAGTCTATCAATTGCTTCCCTCGTCGAAGTGTCAAAGCACACAGCGAATAACACAAAAATAGTCTACAAATCTCAGGAAGTTGGAAAAACACCATCACCCATGATTAAAACAAGTTCGAAACAAACTTCTGCACAGCCGGCGACTTCGATGCCGCCTTGTAGCCCAGCGTAAGTGCTGCTGCCAGAGTCACATAGGTCGTAATCGCGATCACAGGAACCACGGTCTCCTCCACGACTCTTCCGATGTTCTCCTTGCCACGCTTCACAGCCACGTTGCTACCCGATCCAGAGATGTCGTACTCGCCGACCCAGTCGATTTGCGACAGCCTCTTCTGGTACTCGATGACAGTTCCGCACCAGTTGTTAGTGATCAGGCCGTCCTCAGTCTTGTACCAACTTTGGCAGCTCGAGTCGGAGAAGGTCAAGTCCTTCATCCTCTCCTGGATCATGTCGTTGTAAGCCTTCACCACCTCCGGTCGCGGCTTAATGGCCAGTTGCTGTCCGAGGCTCTTGGCCTTGAGCACCTTCCCAATCAAATTGCTGATGTACCGCGACTGTGCCTCGATCATCAGGATAATGGACGAGTGTCCGAGATTCGTGTTTGGTCCGTACATCATGCCGAAGTTAGGTAGAGACTCGACCGTCACGCCGCGGAAGGCGCGTGCACCGCCCCTCCAGATGTCTTCCAGTGAACGGCCGTCGGCACCGCGGATCTTGATTGGGTACATGAATTCAGTTGCGCGGAAACCGGTCGCGAGGATGAGAATGTCAAATTCGTGCTCCTTACCCTCCACCTCAACACCCGCGGGTGTGATGCGCTGGATGGGCGTTGTCTCAATGAAGACTTGAGGCTGAGCCAAAGAAGGAAGTAAATTATCGGTCACGAGGATTCTCTTGCAGCCAGGGGAGTAATTTGGCGTAAGCTTCTCCCATAGATCGGGCCGGCCAGGAATCTGTTTCTTCAACAGAGAAATGGCCCACTCGCGCACATGGTCGTTCTCTTCCGTATTCTTTCGCATATTCGAGTTAAAGAAGTCTTCTCTGATATCCATGAGTATAGCCCTGTATCGCGCTCGTGCGCCGGGTACGTAGTTAAACGCTGAGCGCATAATTGGGCCGAAAACCTCGTCGGAACGAGGGACGACCCAGTTTGGCGTCCTCTGGAATATTGTTAAGTTCTTGCACACCTTGGACACCTCCGGGATGATCTGTGCGGCAGTAGCGCCGTTGCCAATAATCCCGATCTTCTTGCCTTCAAGGTCGATACTCCAGTCCCATCTCGCAGAATGTAACATCTTGCCCTCAAAGGTATCCAGCCCTTCGATGTCAGGGTATTGCGGGGTGTTCAGCTGGCCTACACCAGAGGCGAGGAAATCGCTCGTAATCGAGTACTCGGCGCCGTATTGTGCCGACTTCTCGCCGGAGACGCTGACTTTAACCGTCCATTTATTCCCCTTGTCCGACCAGACTGCCTCCTCAACAGACGTGTTGAATCGGATATGCTTGAACAGGCCCCATTTCTCTGCGACACCAACGAGGTAGGCATAGATCTCTTCCTGGCCAGGGTACTGGCGCGACCAGTTTGGGTTGGGCTCAAACGAGTAAGAATATAAGTGGCTCCACACTGGGCAGTTGTCAGCAATGCGCCTTGTCAGCACTCTATTCAAGGTCCTTACCATCGCAACAAGCTCCAGGGTATTTATTATCACTCCAAGTTCCCCCAACCTGGCTTCCCCTCTCGAGAATTATGAAATCTCTCGATTTGTTCTTTCGGATCATATCGATGGCCATGCACATTCCTTGAGAGCAGTCAGTGCCTGTCTTGCCTCAGGTCCATTTGTACACCCCGCAACGTACCTGAGATACCCGCGCCGATGATTACGACAGCCGCATTCGTATGACTCTTCCGCGAAGCTGTGTGATCACTTTTGTCATAATCGGGGGTCGAGACCGCAATAGATGCGCGCTCCTGTTGCGCGATGAACGCCTTGAGTAGCTTCTTGTCCATTATGGCGGTTAATGTGAGAACACTCGGGGTGTCTGTATTGTCACGTCGCTCGTCCTTTCCTTTGCGCGCGCAAGTAATAACGCCCGCAGAGGTAATAAGGAGCAGTTGACAGCAGCAAGCCTCGAGGGTGAAGTTTGAGAAGTGAGGTTTTGGTTTTGAGAAGCGTGGGACAGAGTGGCAGTAGAGTCCTTTCGTCTTCTTGATACTACTGCTTGGGCTTGGTTATGTATAGTAACCCCCCTGCACGTGCCGAGGATCATATGAATAGGAGCTTCCCATTCGACTAGATCCATTTGAGGAGAGCTTTGGGGTTGGGTTATTGGCTGGAGCGTCGGCGAGTATTTTACACTGACGCTGTTTTGCGGGGTAGATGCACTGACAGAGCTCTCTACCCGAGGCAAATAGAGGTCGCTTGGGGTCGTCGTTCCCCATAGTTCGCCGTCTCTTGCCCATGCTTGCCGCCGCACCCGAGGCAAAACCCCTCATAATTTCCATAAAATGCATAAATATGTCGACCTCATTAAGTCAGTCCGAGGCTGGGGATCAACGATGTTCTTTCGCTCCTTTCGTCCTTTATTCCCCGGTAGCTTACTCAGTTTGATATGTTACAGTAGCTACCGGAAGGCGATCTGTGGAAGAGCCGCAGTTCTCTCCTAAAGCAAAGAATATTAGAGCGATCAATATCATACCAAGGTAGGACGACAGGGCGGCTCACCTCGGCTCGGACCTTGGCTGTTCGTGGCTTAAACGCGTGCTATTCTGGGTTGTGAATTGGCAAGGCTGAACAAAGAGGTGGCGAGGCTGAGGCAGCTACGTAGGGGAGCTGGCGAAACAGAGATTAATATGGCTTGGCGCTTCGCAGCTCAATCCATCAACCCGCATCATATCATTCGTCTACCATCGACAACGACCTACGTGACCACGAATATGAGATATCGATAGTACTATCTGCATCAATATGATGCCTCACGAACCATCCCCCATCTCCCCAACTACGCCCACCAAATTCCCTCCTCCAACGCGCAGCGCTACCATTCCCATACCCCCACGCACATGGTCCGCTCCCACCGACAGAACGCTTCTCGCGCCTGAAGATGCGATATATCTCGGGGCACCACCGCATAGGAGGGGGGCAGCGGACAAGGCGAATCCGCGCATGTGCAACGTCGACACGATAGGAGAAGACAGTTTGAGGGGTCACCGGCGGGGGATGAATAAGGAGAGGATGAGCAGCAGCAGGAGGCGGAAGGTTATTTGGAAGAAGCTGCTCTGGGTGAAGCAATCCTGTTTGTCTCTCAACTGGGACTATTGCCAGGTCATGCGCTTACCCTCATAGATCCCGATAATTACACCGACCAAGAAACATTCCTCGAGCACCTTCAGCGAAACCCACGGCTTCAACCATACGACTTCTGGCCACTTGTCGCAGACTCGACCGTCATCGTCCAGCAGGTCTGTTCCGTGATAATCTTCATTGTCTGCTTTGTGGGGATATTCCAAGAGAGAGTTTCCCCTGTTACCGTCGTCGGGACAGGCACACTCAGCACAGTTCTCGGCTGGGTAGCGTGGGACAGATGGGTTGGGCAAGAACAGCAATCTTTCTCTCGCCCCGACAATCCACCGGGTCCTGTTGATGGGCCGCCCATGGTGAGCTCAGTTTCGGGCGCTGTCAAGAGCGATACCAAACCACAAGCGGCTGGACCTAACCTTGCAGCGCTGCCACACAGCCCACGACATTCGCACAGTGCCAGTGCCTCATCCCTCCACTCTCAGACCTCTATCCCATCCCCTATAGTTGGCCAACCCAACGGCTCATCTACTTTTGCGACTTACAGCGCTGTTGCCCCCTATGGCTCAAGGTCATCCTTCTCCCCGCGAAATCAACAGCGGCTTGCAACAGCGAAATCCGCGGTCCTTATCTACTGCGCACTCCTCGGGCTCAGCCCTATCCTCAAATCCCTAACAAGGTCGACGTCGAGCGATTCGATTTGGGCGCTCAGCACGTGGTTGATGATCATTAATGTTTTCTTTTTCGACTACGGCGGCAATGTCGGCGTCAAGTTTCAGGCCTCCCTCTCCACAAATGCGGCCCTCATGGCATCGACTGTGCTTGCCTCGCGCCTCCCATCCACCCAGCACGTCTTCTCTCTCACGCTCTTCTCGATCGAAGTCTTTGGGCTGTTCCCCGTCTTTCGCAGACACTTGCGCCACGTGTCTTGGCGCTGGCACGTCGTTCTTACGGCACTCCTTGTAATGGGGGCCGGCGGGGGAGTTGGGATGGTGGTTACTCGCGGGGGATGGAAGGCGGCTGTTGTCGGGATGACGCTAGGGAACCTCATTGCAGGCCTGGCTATGGGAGGGTGCAGTTGGTGGTTAATTGGGCTCCAGAGGTATAAGAATGAGATACATGGACCATGGGACCCGGCGAGGCCGATCATACGCCGGCACTGGGAGGACTATTAAATACCATATGATATGTATTTATTGTATTTTTAGGATAAGAAAACGAGCACGGCAGCATCGGCCAGTTATACGTATACATCAATGCATTATTGTCCTCGAATACCTTACTGGCGCACCACCTATTTTGATAAGGGTGGTACGACGGTGGTGGGAAAGTGGGCAAAACCTATACGGTTCCCCGACGGTGGAGTGGCCCGAGCTTCGGTGGAACGGCCGTTCTCGAGCTCAACGGCCAACCAGCTCCACGGTGGACTGGAAATACGCTGTAGATAATAAGTATATAGTAATATGACGGTTTAATTGACTTACCGCTGTCCATATTGAGCTCGGTGGTGGCCAATCCACCCAAATTGTCGTAAAAACCATGACAATTGTTCCGCCGCTGGTGCCGCCATCAACGGCAAAGTGGCCAACGCTGGTCGTAGGGCAGTCGGAAGGGGGTCCGCCCGGTTGTATGGCGGTCGCTCCGCAGCCCCTCAGAATAATCGCCGAAAGGGGCGCCAGGAGCAGTATGAGGTCGTCAGTGCTCGGGGAAGGGTTGCCTATATATCTATCCAGATCAGCTCTGATCAATCTGATAGACAAGGTGGTGGTGGTGGTCGCCCGCAGCTAACCAGCCCAACGGTGCGAATGCTCAGTCTCGCAGAAGCCCACTCATCGACGGTGAGTATTTGGAAGAGAGCCTTGGCTGAATAGGGCAGTGGGAAGTCACGTTGTAGATAGTTACGTGGTCAAGCTCTCTATTGATACGAAGACTGAACGCTGCCCTTCCGATTAAGGGCTGCGTTCCTACTATATATGTTCTCGTGCGGGGTTCAGAGGGAAGACCCTCCGCCTTGGCACTATAGCGCACGTGACAGGTCCTGCACGTGAGGCTACTTGTGACAGTATTGCTATCAGAGCCATGTAGTGGTGGAATTAGGGCAGTAACAAGAGCACAACGGTGACAATACACTGCGGCAACGAGAATATGCAGTGACATTTGCATTGTGGTGGCAAGAAGATGGAAAGAGCCATACCACAGAAAGTAAGAAGCCAGAAAAGCGCGAATTACTTCTAGGGATCAAGGGTTTGACAGCCCCAAGCCACGAGCGGAAACTCCCAGCATAGATATGTCACCAGCAAACGATCAGCAAACAAAACACCTGGCGGCATGATAATACCAACAGTAGAAGGAAGCAACGAGAAGGAGAAGAAGCAATTACAGGATAACGCTGGCAACAGAACAATAGGAAGTGCATGGGACAATAGGCAGTTTCGATGAGCACCCAGATCAAGATGGGGAATGAAAACGAACCTGTGACAAGAGGTATAACAGAAACATATCACCGACACAAAACAGAGGGATTCCGAAGTTGATTCCAAAGACTGTTCATTTAATATTAGCTAAAAGTAGTATACAGCAAATATAACCATGCCAGAAGGTGATCAAATATCACAGCCATCACGACAAGAACATGACTCTTGCCAGCCAATTGTGAAAACCCAAGCCAAGCCAAGCCACAAGTATATCCCAGTATTCCAATATGTTTTCATATGTTCGCCATGGTTTGAGGTATGTTCGAGGTTTGTTCCAGGTATGTTCGAGGTATGCTCACTACGCCAATAACATCCAAGAGTTAGTGTAAGGACACAGGGCACCCAGCTCACAGTAATAGCATATGAGAGTGCAAGTCGGAGGCTAAACGGATGCTATCCTATAGGTCTACTATAAAGGATACAAAAGAGATGATGAGGAACCCCGTTGGGTCAATCCCCTTAAGTACCCGAAACGGGTCCGACTCGGCTAACCTGCCCTAACTCTCCCCACGTGACTGTAACCTGCCCGACTCTGATGCTTTCCGTCACTGAGGGTGGAGGCATCCTTACATGTATCTATTGCTGGCCCTCAGCCCAGAAACCATCTCCGACGTAAGTCCAGGCTCTCAGAATCTCCCCCCTCATAACGAATGAAAAAGCTAACATATGGGTCTTCGACAGATCCTCAAGCTCGACAACTGTGATCTCTTCCCCGTCTCCGAATTCAAGATGCACCAGGCTGGTACAGCTCTCCTCGCAATCTTCACCCCGGCGTGGCCACGATCCCCTCTCAGATTCCCTGAGCCAGCTACCACAGGATACACATCTACTATCTGGGTGCGACAGACCTGCATGCTACTGCCCAAATTAAATTAATTTTAATTAGGGCGAAAACTGTATTTCCCTGAGAGGTGTGAAACGGTTGATTTATTTGGAGTTGTCTGCCGACCCTAAAAAGTTTCAGCGATACAGCTTGAGATATACGGATCTTGAGCTCGAGCCAAAAACCAGATTTAGAGCTTCGCTAACACTGCCGCTCATAGCTCTCATTTCGGAACCATTTTCAAATGGGCCCCTGGCATCCACGCAAGCAGGTCAAACATGGGGAGTTGATGCAACGGCTCTATCGGAATCCCATTCCGATTCCTGGTTCCCAGCACATGTCACAGCCAGTAGATAGAAGAATACATGATGATTCGATACAACACATTTCTGTTCCAAGTGATGTTGATTATGGCGATGCAATTAACGGGGATGATGGGGACTGGGACGACAAGACTGACTCCAATTCTGGTGTTCGAGTGAAGTTCCTATTCCCACAACAATGCACGAGCTCACTGAGCAAGTTAATCAGGAGATATTAAATCTCGATGAGTTGGAGATATCAGATGACTATGAATCTGAGGATGAGGCCAATTTTGAGCCACCGAATGAAGATTTCCTCCCTGCCGAATGTAAGGATGCCTCCGCCCTCAGTGACGGAAAGCATCAGAGTCGGGCAGGTTACAGTCACGTGGGGAGAGTTAGGGCAGGTTAGCCGAGTTGGACCCGTTTCAGGTACTTAAGGGGATTGACCCCACAGGGTTCCTCATCATCTTTTTTGTATCCTTCATAGTAGACCTATAGGATAGCATCCGTTTAGCCTCCGACTCGCACTCTCATATGCTATTACTGTGAGCTGGGTGCCCTGTGTCCTTACACCCCTCCCCCTTCTCTTTTACAACTATGGACTATCTAACTCATTCAATATACACAGGAGCTACACGTCGACATGGGACAGCTGCACCCACCAAACGATCGGTGAACCAAATATTTGGAAGCGACCAACTTCAACACTTGACACCCCACTCAACACCCTAAAGCGGTGGCACATTCGAATATGGACAAGGAAAGATGAGGCCTGGCCGCAGGTAGAAAGAGCTTGTAATATAACTTGGGGTGATTAAGGGCTAGGGCGAAGAGTGGAGGATGGGAAGGGCGTGTAACGCTGACTTCTAAACGATAGAAGACACAGAGGTTCTCTTGCGTAAAGGTTTACTTATCAGAGGAGGCAGGGGATCAGACACAAAGGCTTCAAGTAACACGTTACTAGTATATAACAAATACTGTATTGAGTTGAGCACGAAGCTCCTATCTAAGGAAATACTATCTACTTATATAGTGGCGTCGTGCCTCATGGGTAATCTGGATAGTTGGCGGATAGCTAGATATTCAGGATAGTTCGTGGATAGCTCAACTATCCAATATCCACTAGTTTCTGCAACTATCCATTAGCCCCATCACATGGCAGCCTACCCCGCTTCCCACTGTGACTCACACGTCACGTTATGTGACTCACACATCACGTTACTAGGCCCTGGCCCTGTAACCATGACATCATGTTACTATAGCCGTAACACTAGGTCCTCCTCCAAAAGGCCTAGTCCCTTAGGTCTTGCTGATTAAGGAATCGCTTACTTAAGTAGGGTGATGCCCACTTAATTGTCGAGCAGGTTGCGCTGCTTACCATGTCTTCTAGTAGACACATAAAAATCAAAGAACGTCATCTTCTTGCAGACCGTATTGAAAAGAACGGCAACCTAATGTCGCCATTGTCATACTGACATTCGTTGCACTCAGTTTGCTATCAAACTCAAGAGCAAACTTGGAAATCTCCTCCTCAAACCTACAAGTCACTATACATATTTTGGCTTATCACACCAACAACAAGAGCAATACTACTCAACGATTGCTACAACCATCTATGATTCATTACACGTCATCGCTCCTTAGTTACTGGGCCGATATTACCACATAGCATATCTCTACAACCCTCTATGATTCATTACATGACATCACTCATACTACCACATGACATATCTCTACCAACTAGAGGCCTAGGAGCATGAACGATAGCTCTAAAAGCTCCTACGAACCTCTATGATTCATTACATGTCATCGCTCTTTAGTTACCCACAAGATTGGTTAAGTTATGACATAATTTGTCTATGACATAATTTGTCTATGACATAATTTGTCTATAGGGGTACTCTGACCTTGGACCTCCTTTTACTTCCTATAGGCTACGAACCTAAGAGATGGTTCTATGGGATTCTCTTATGTCGACTACAGTTACCAAGCCTGGTAATCATGGAAAGTCTTGGAAAATGAGAGAACTACACTCCTTTAGCATAAATAGGATTGCCCTTTCCTTAAGAAAGGGCAAGCAGACAATACAGTAAATTGACTATCACATACTTCCACGTCTTTTCCAAGCTTCCAAGCATTCATCTTGTTACTCCTTGTTTCTGAAAAGTCAGTGAGGTGTTAACCTCTGACTTACCCCTGAGTTCCCAGACTCAACATTTGTTGCAACTTGTCTGAACCACTTCACTACATCACACACCTGATTGCTGCGTTGTGGAATAGTCTAAGCTACGACCCTTTGGCTCTGTTTTCTAAGACAGTGTGTTGTCTTAGTAAATTCATCCCTTCCTTGGGTGGCTAGATTCTCACATCTGGTGCACCCACCATTACAGCCATGTTCCAGCTGTCTTCACAACAATCGATTCTGTATCGTTGTTGCTGGTAGTCATCGTTGTAGTGAATGTACTCGTCGCAATTCCAAATGCAACGCTTGCGCCCCTTCTCCAACTGATTGGGAGAAGCTTCGAAAAGAAGAAGAGCGTCTTGAGGTAGAAGAGGAAGCGGCGGCATCTCAGGAGCGAGAGGCTCACCTCTGCACTCAAGAAGCATATGCCCGTCGCATGCGTCTTCACAAACAGCAGAAGGCTCTCAAAACCCGCGGTGTTGAGATGCTGCGTCGTGGTCTGAAATCTTTGGAGGAATTGGATGAAGCAGAGGAGAAGGAGTGTAGGGAGGCAGAGGTCAAAGGGACTCTCTTGCACAGCCCTTCTACTGCCGTTTCTGAGGGTGCTGCCCCTGACCAGGACCTTTTCGTGGCCCTGTCTCCTGGCTTCTTTGATCGCTTGGGTGTCGACGGCGAAACGCCTCCAGTAGCTCTGGACAGCTAAGGTTTCTGACCGTTTCCCATGAATTGTCCGTAGGTTCGTAACCTTTCCATTTTATCAAAAACTCTTCTTTGCGTCCTACTAACCTTCTGTCTAGGATCGCTTCGACTTCGTATTCAACAATCTCATTCTCTGGTTGAAGTTCTGTATCGGTCGCAATTGGGGTATTTCCTCTTGCTGGTTCCAGTAGTGAGACATGAAATACCAGGTGTAGTCTAGACTTCTTGGGTAGCTGCAGTCTGTAATTAACTGAGCTGACTTTGTTCAATATTTTGAATGGTCCCAATTTCTTGAAGTCCAACTTTGTACTTGGTCGTTTCGTTTTGATATGTTTCCGGAGTAGGTATACTTTATCCCCCTCCTTGAAGGCAGGTTCCATACTGCGCTTCTTGTTTGCGTATGCGGCGGATCGTTTATTTAAGAATTGGATGTCCGTCGCAAGTTGTTCGTGGAACGATTTCAGTTGTTCCACCACGATCAGGGCTTGTTCAGCTCGTGATTCATCTGGTCTTGGTTGCCTATATGCTTCTGGCTGGTAGCCGTAATTGGCAAAGAACGGTGAGACTTTCGTTGCTTCTGTCATCGCGCTGTTATATGCAAACTGTGCGATGGGTAAGATCTGAACCCAGTTATCCTGTTGATGATTGACATAGCTTCGCAGGTACTGTTCAAGGGTCTGATTTAATCTTTCTGTTTGGCCGTCTGTCTGGGGATGAAAAGCTGTTGACAGCTTATGATTTGTTCCCAGTAGCGCCATCAATGATTTCCAGAATTTCGAAGTAAAGAGCTTGTCTCTATCTGAGATGATTTCTTCTGGCATCCCATGATCGGCTAATATGACTCGAATGAAGGTATATGCGAGCGCCTCGGCGTCGCTATCTTCTAGATATGGTATAAACTTCCCATATTTCGTGAGTCTTTCCGTGATGACGAGGATAGAGTCGTATTCTATTCCTGTTAACGGGTCCTTGGAGGGTGGAAGCTTGACGATGAAGTCCAAAGCTATTGATTTCCACGCTCCTTTTGGTACTGGTGTCGACTTGAGTTGTCCGTATGGCAGATTGTCATACTGACATTCGTTGCACTCAGTTTGCTATCAAACTCAAGAGCAAACTTGGAAATCTCCTCCTCAAACCTACAAGTCACCATACATATCTTGGCTTATCACACCAACAACAGAAGCAATACTACTCAACGATTGCTGCAAACTCTTCTACTACATCTGTTTATGCTACATACATCACGGCATATCATTTGGACACTCATTGAACAAGTTATTAAGAAAATCTCCTCCTTAAGGGGGTGGGCCAATACTACCACATGGCATATCTCTACCAACTAGAGGCCTAGGAACATGAACAATAGCTCTAGAAGCTTCTACAACCCTCTATGATTCATTACACGTCTGTAACGCTGACTTCTAAACGATAGAAGACACAGAGGTTCTCTTGCGTAAAGGTTTACTTATCAGAGGAGGCAGGGGATCGGACACAAAGGCTTCAAGTAACACGTTACTAGTATATAACAAATACTGTATTGAGTTGAGCACGAAGCTCCTATCTAAGGAAATACTATCTACTTATATAGTGGCGTCGTGCCTAGTGGACTCTTGGGAACTCACTCGAGTCCTCGGAGTCCTGGACTCTTAGGATTCTTCTCATCATCCTGCGAGTCCGTCACGTGCCTAGTGGACTCCTGGGAACTCACTCGAGTCCTCGGAGTCCTGGACTCTTAGGACTCTTCTCATCATCCTGCGAGTCCGTCACGTGATACTTTCGGAACTACTATTCCCCGCTGCCCCTCCAGGTACCAGGGCCGGTCTCATGCGACCTCCCTCCTTCCTGTCCTGTAGTTGGCCAGCCTTCTTGTTCCGTCGTAACAAGATGGCCCTTCGGCGTCGATTCGCGTGCTTAGACATTTCCTCTTGTGCCTTTGCCATGTTTTCCTTTGCGTGGACCCATGCGGTATGCATTCGGTCTGCCACCCCCTTGGCTTCCTCTCGGTTTAGGGTCTCCCGGGGGTTGGTGCTTTTCAGAGTGTTCCAATCCCAACTCGTACGCGGATCGGTTCCGTACTTGAGTCGGTAGGGGGTCATGCCAATGGATGCGTGGGGGAGTGTCATTTGCATGCGGTCCATTATGGGGATGAGCTCGCTCCAGTTATCCTGATAATAGGATACGAAGGGCCTCAGTCTCTGATCAATGTATCGGTTCATGATTTCCGTCTGCCCGTCGGTCTGCTTATGATAGGCCGTTGACAGCTTAACCTTAACGCCGATAATTCGACAGAACTCTTGCCAAAAGGATGATACGAATTGGGGTCCGCGGTCGCTTACAATCGACTCCGGAGTGTGTCCGAATCAGTATATCCATTCGATGAACAATTGCGCCATCTGGCGGGCAGTTATGGTCTTGTAGCAAGGTATTGTCACCGAACTCTTTCCGAGTCGGTCCATAAACACTAAGATGCTATCGTATCCATGCTTGTCCCGTGGGAACTCCTTGAAGTCCATGGTGAGGTGTTGCATAGGGTACTCGGGTACGGGTAGTGGGTGTAGAAATCCTTGTTGCTTAGTGACATTGGTGTGAGAAAGCCGGCATTTCACGCAGTTTCGTACATACCGCAAACAGTCCGCTTCCATCCCGACCCAATGATACTTTGGGGCGAGCAATTGGTAGGTTTTCCTGCCACTTGGGTGTGCTGACGACACTTGATCATGCGCTTCCCGGATCAGTTTCATACATAGGTCAGTGTGGCGATTCACACATAGGCGGCCTTTGTATAGGAGGAGCTGGTCGTTCATCGCGAATCCGTCCGGTAGGGGTTGTTTCACGCGAGTCTCAGTGAACGACTTCCGATTGTCCGCACATAGCGCCTCTATTAAATTGAAGGGCACCTGGGGCTTGGCGGTGTCCATTGAATTAATGGATGCTATGTAGCTCTCGGCGAGTTTGGTGCTGATTCGGGGGTGTAGGCGGCTTGGACCTAACAATACCCTCGCCCTACTATCAAGTTTGACTTTCTGCTGCATTACCAGGTCTTGGTCTCTTCGGCTCAGAATATCAGCCTTCTGATTATTCTTGCCTGCGGTGTACGTGATGCAGAAATTGAAGTCGGAGAGTAGCTCCATCCACCGAACCTGTTTCGCTGTGAGAATCTTGGTAGACATGAAATATTCCAACGAACGGTGATCAGTGTAGACGTCAACTCGGTGGCGTACCGAAGCCAACTCGGGCCTCCATTTTCCAAAGGCTTTCACGATTGCGAATAGTTCCTTGTCGTGGATCTCCCAGTTGATCTCATGTCCGGATAGGACGTGACTGTAGAAGCTTACTGGGTACCATCGCTTGTCAGGGTGTTCTTGAAACAGGACACCAGCTACCACTCCATCAGAGGAGTCAGTCTCCAGCTTCGTAGGCAATTCGGGGTTGAAGTGGTGAAGTGCCTGTACCGCTAAAAGTTGTTGTCGCAATTCCTCGAACACATCCTCACATTCGTCTGTCCACTGGAACGGCTCCGAGAGACTAGTGATGGTGGTGAGGGGCTTTGCTATTTTGCCGAAATTATGAATGAATTGTCTATAGAAGCCACAGAATCCTAGGTAGGACTTCACACCCGTAACAGTGGTCGGTCGGATCCAGTTACGAAGGGGTTCGATTTTGTCAGGGTCCGCTTCGACACCGGAGGTAGTGAGAACATAACCCAAGTATTTTGTCCTGGTGACGTTGAACTCGCATTTGTTCAAATCAGCTTGGAGTCCAGCTTCTCGGAGACGCTGTAGGACCTTATGTACATGGTCTATGTGTTCCGTAGGGTCCTCTGAATAGATTAGGATGTCGTCTAAGTATGCGGTACAGAAGTCATCTAAGTATTGCATTAGGACGTCATTCATATACCGCTGATAGGTTGTGGGACCGTTCGTCAGTCCAAATGGCAGCACTTTGCACTTATAGGATCCATAGCGAGTCCGAAAGGTTGTGTACTCTTCCGAGTCGGGGTGCATCCGTATACGATGGAAGGCTTGTCTGATATCTAGCTTCGTGAAGATTTTTGCTTTCGACACCCGTCCTAGTAGTTCATCGATACGCGGGATGGGGTAGGGATCGTTCCGGGTGAGACCATTTAACTTCCAGTAATCGATGCAAAATCTTAATTTGCCATCCGCTTTCTTTACAAATAGGATAGGGGATGCAAAGGGGCTGTTGCTGTTGACGATGAATCCCTTTTCCAGGTTTTCCAGCAGGTATTGCTTGGTAGCCTTAAGCTCTTCGGTGCCCTGTCGATATAACGGGGAGAAAGCATTTGGTAAAGGGGCTTCGAGCTGTATCTTGTGGTCATATATGCGGTGGGGGGGGATTCGATCCGATTCCAACTTCGAAAAGACATCGGTGTACCTCCGGTGCATATGCGGAAGCTTCTGCTGGATGAGGCGGAGCGTTTCTTCGTCCTCTACCAACTCCTTTTCATGAATGATCTGATCGATTTCGTAGATGCTAGTTTGAAAAAACTCGGAGTCGTTTCGCATCATCTCGTGGTGGAAAGCATTTGCACTGATTTCGCATATATGCATGGGCGTAAACCTATGTATTAGGGTTTTCTGCGGTGGGGGAGAAACCTCCTGGTTTCGTGGTGGGTTCGATGGCGTATCGGTGATCTCTTCGTAGTCGGAAGTTATCACTTTCATTTCCATTGAACGTCCGCCTGCGCGGCGTCTGTCTTCGCGGTGGATTGCGAAATCCCGGCGATTCGCATCCGACTGGTATGCAGGATGTTTAATGGACGTTTCGCGTGAGTGGTAGGGCAAGGTGATCTCCTTGCTCTAGCTAGGAGTCGGCGGGTACTCCTTTGGCCATACTAACCGGCTCTTTGCAGAGTCGAGTAGTATTCAGAAGCGGCTGAAAAGCTTCTTCCCAATTATCACATCTTGTGCTCCGAGGTCCAGGAGTACAAAGGGGCAGTTATATATTCAGCGTCCTTTGACTGTTAAGTGTAACCGAATATAC